AATCAGAATTTTTTAATTTAAAATTTCACAATTTTTTTTTTAAAAGTGACAATTATTAACCAAGAGTATATTATAGACAAACCAATAAGTAAATAATATCAGACTTTCTATCCATTATTAATTGGTTTTAAGGTTGGATAATCTTTTTCGAATATAAATTCAAAAAATGTCATATATAAAATAAGAATACTCCTAATTCTGCACTAAATACGTTATCAATGGATTATATTCATTATTTCTTAGGACCAGCGGATGTCCAACTCGTATATTTGATTTATTATTTTTTCCTCAAATTTAATTGTGCCTCTCATGCTTCTCACCAGACGGCAATAAAAGACTACAATGATGAAGCTAGTCGTTGATGCTAAGGCCGATAAAGTGCTTGGGGCATCCAAATGTGAGCCGGATGCTACCTCAAAAATCATTTTTAGCCAATCAGAGCATCCCTTTATTTATGTATGATTAGTACACTAATTTTTTTCCCTCTAGAGATTTTTCCTTCAATAAGGAAAAAAAAATCATAAATTCCCCATCAATTCAGCATTGGCCCATAGGACTTTCTCTTTCTTTTTCCGGTCCAATTTGGACTCCCCCCTAGCCTCCATTAAAATAATAGCTTCTCTTTATAGGCTTAGCCCAATAAAATAAAATTTTTGCGCCATAACAGAACTTCCCCTACCCTATCTTAACTAGAGCTGAGAAATAATTCGAATATGAGTTATATTTGCCATACAGATAATGAAGGCGTTCAAAACCTGCACTAGATTGTAAACCAGAAAGACCAAGAAGTTGTAGCCCCTTTGGGGTCAAGATGTCCCCAGATGGAAGAGGAACCTGCACAAAAAGAAGCTTACATTAAAAAGATTTAGCTAAAATATCAGCTTCGAGTAAAGAACCAGGATCAAATGCAGCCAAGCCTCACCCCACCCCCTTCAGATTCTGCCAAATAGTTTGTAACTTCACGAACAACTTCAATATCCTGAGGATACTTCTTGTAGTACTTTTCATTCTGACGAGCAACCTGCTCAAAGCAAGCTCCATAAACAGTATCTGCAGTTCATCCATCCCCAATTGGAGGTATTCCACGAGTCAGAAGCACTTGTTTCAATCCTTGTGGTGCAAAACTCAAATAGGTGACGGCACAAAAACCTCCATAGCTCTGCCAGAAAGAGTGAGAAAAGAGTAAAAACACAAAAAGTTATAAACTCACAGCATGCATACTTACTAATTGATCATCACTAGACGCTCCTCATATGAAATGATGAAATGCACAAACAAAAATGTCAAAATTGAACAGTAATTTTAATACCTGGCCCAAAACTGTCCAGGATCCAGAACCAGGAACAAGTCGAACACGGAAAAACTCAGCATCATTGACTATACTATCAGCACGAAAATGTTTCAAGTAATCAGCCAAATCCCGGGCAGACTTAAATTGCAGCATGGACGATGTTGTCAGTGGAGTTGATAATCCTGTTCCTCTCTGCAAGAAAAAACACATCACCAACCCTCAATAACAACAAGCACAAGTACTCCATTTCATCAAAAAAGATTCAGGGAAACCATGCCTGATCCATTAATATAACACGAAACTCCTCGCAAGCTTTAAGTATCCATCCACTGCCTTCAGTTGGTCTCGGGGATTCAAAACCCGGTCCACCTTGCAGAAACAGGAGGCATGGTAGTGATTGATCTTCTTTACCAACTGCAAAACAATTCTACATTAATCAGCACATATACTACCACTCTACTAATTTCATATGTTGAAAATCCTCAATTCAGATTCCTCTTTTGCAGATTCATATATATATATTTTTTTTGGAAAAAATACTAACTGCATGAACGGAATAGACAAGTCAGTATCCAAGTACAATTAAGAATTCAATTATTTCCAAGTACTAGGACAATGAAAAACCTAACATGTCCTGGAAAAAGGAAAAGTAAAGCTAGGTTGACTTTAGCACTTCTACTTCGACATTCTGGGACCAATTCGAGAAAAGAAGACATAATTCGCGATATTTCAACATTAAACAGTGATTTAACAGAAATAATTCAACTTTAAGTTGATCGCAGGAGGTGGCTCCGTACCAGCAACGACTTCCCGAGCGAAAATGGAGATCTTTAAGGAAGTACCGGGATCTCTGTAATCCAGAGGAACAGTGAAACAGTGATCTCGGAGCCGGAGATCTGGTACTGAGTACCACTTTCCGGCGGCGTGTTCAGGCAATGACTCGCCCGAAGAATCGACTTTGGGTGCTGCCATAGCAATTGTACGGCACGAGTTCCGGCGATAGTGGGGGTTGAGAAGTTTGATGGCCGGAGTTAGTCGGTGAGATACAATGCGTGGAGATAACGAAGAAAAAAGGCCGTACAATACAAGAGATTTTATCCAGAGGGGTGGCGCGTGCGTTACCAACATTTTTGGGAGAGTGAAGACATAGAAACGCGCCTTTTGTCTCTAGAGATTAGTTATTAAATTAAACTCTTGGAAATCACCGAGGGCCCCTAATCCCCTATTTATTAAACTCTCCCACCAAGTTTCGAAAATAACAAAAAAATAAATTAATTAAAATTAAGTGCTTAATGTATGGAGAAAAAATAAAAATATTTTCTTATTTAATTATAAAAAAAATTAAGGAAGAGGAAGAGGAAGAAAGTCTTTTGTTTTTTGTTTTATCATGTTATAATTGTTTCTAAGCATATTTTCTAATTTTATTATGTTATAATTGTTTTTTCTTTAAATTTGCTCCTTCAGCATTTAGTGTGTGACATGTGGCCATTATAATTTTCATATCAACATTAACAAATTACTCTATTTATCTAAAAAT